CTCGTGTCGGAAGAATAAGTTGACACGTATCTTAAAATACTTACCGTGATAAGCATTTTAAGGGTTTGGTCGCTAATAAAATTATGGCTACCATTCTTGGAGAGAGAGCAAATGACCGATCACATCTTCTTAAAAACATTGCCGACCGATTCACGTAATATTTTCCCTTGTTCACTCTCCTCTTCTTTACCAAAATACCTCATTATTACATCAAAGGCCGCTTCAGACAACTTTTGCCCAAGTAGGACCTGAATCAAAGCTAGACAAAAAACTTGTGTTATAAGGGCGGACCTAGACCAAAATGTTGGGGGCTAGCATTTAAAGTCAATGCATGAACAAAAATTTTAAAAGTCAAAATATGACATAAACCTGGGAAAAAAAATTGAGAGAAATTGGGAATTGATTTTATTTTCTGGAGGAATAAAAATTGAAGGAAATTAAATTTGTGCCATTTGTGTCAGGCTAGGGCAATCCGGCAATGGTCATTGTGTTTTTATTCAGGGTGGCTAATTAAATCTCGTCATCACTCATTTATGAAAACTGTATGAGTGTGACCTTTATCTAAGAGCTTAATTAAGTCGTAAATGAGTTGGTCCACACAACTTTTGTAAATCTATTGCATGGAGTTCTGTATAGGCTTTTAATTAAGTCGTAAATGAGTTGGTCCACACAACTTTTGTAAATCTATTGCATGGAGTTCTGTATAGGCTTTTGAGTAATCGTTCGATGTCATCATGTTGGATTGGCCGAAACGTGTTGAGTCGAGTCGAGTCATTGATAGCACTTCCTGGGCGCGGCCTTGGCGAAGTTTGCACATGTGCCTACCTTAAGGAGCTCCACCCAAGCTTTTGTTGTTGTAGGCTATGTACTTGTCTACGAGAGGACTAGCCGGTTGGCGAAAACTATGTCATTTTTGGTGAAGTATTCCGCCACCGACTCTGTGATGGCAACACCACGACATGGTGGAAGCCGAGGCTGAGGAAGAAGATTGGGCAGTGTTTTCGAAGGAGTTTGTATAGGGCTCTATGAAGAGGAGGTTTTAATAGGTGGAGGTGAACAAGAATGGGAAGGGCTGGTATGTGGAAAATATCCAATTGAGTAATGCTCTTTATCTATATGGTTTATCAGAGTACTTTCCTTCTAATTGGTTAGGGAAATTGTTCAAATGTTTCTAAATGTTTGTCCTGTTAAGGAATAAATATTCTACATCGAATAAAAAAGAAAACATGATCAACTTATATGATTGGACTACTCTCTTAATAGGGTTGACCTTTTAAAATAGAAAAATCAAATCTTAATATAGTATCGGAGTCTATTGAACTCTAACAAGCAATTCGATCCGAATAAAACTCAAAAAAAATGAGTATACAAATTTCAAAATTGGTTTGTTCTAACGAGCCACCATCTTGTGAGGGTATAATTGGCCTTTTTAGATGAATTTAATCCAAAATGACCCTTAATTTAGCTTGTTGTTGACACGTGAAGTTTGAGTGTCGACACCTACTTGAAAAAATAAATAAATTTAATTAAACCTATTTTTAATAGTTCATTGTTATCTTTCGTTGACATGTGGAATAGTGATATAATAATTACAATATAAATCATGAATGTTCCAAGCGTAGTAGAGTAGAGATATTAGAGACCATGTACAAGATTTCTATAGACACAACATGCATATATTGTCATCGATCGACGCATCAAGACTGTGAGTGCTTTACATGTTTATGTGCTTACGTGACAACATGAAATGGTACGTGATATTAGCTTGTAATTGAAAATGATATAGGCGACGACACTTGTTTTCCAATGCATGAAAACTTGAAATTTGTGCGGTAGATATAGACACTTGTTTTCCACTCATCAAAAGTTGAAATTCGTGCATATGTGTCATATGCAACACTCTAACCATATGTGTCGACACCTACATTATCCCACGTGATAAATTATGTTTTTTGTCGTCTATGAGATCTTATTCCAGCCTTGGACATATCGTCATGTCACGAAACGAACCCCTTGATCGTCATTCATTTGTGTCTTGAGGGTTGATGAACTCTTCTTGTTTAATAGTTAATACAATGTTGCTGGCATTTCATTAAAAAGAAAAGAGAAAATAGGAAATGGGTGAGTAAATTAAGTGCACAGGATAGCCCTTAATATATTCATACGTTCATTGTCAAAACATACACCTACGGACATAAAGATAAGGTTAATATATAAGATTATGTGATGCAATCAAATGTTTTGGTCTGATTCTTGAAAAACCTTGTGCACAATTGCTCTAGGTTTGCACATTACCTCTAAGGGCTGCTTTTTAGGCATTGTCAGACCTATCCCTTCACTTAGATCAACTTTTTCTCCACTTACTTTCTTCCATTCAAAGCACTGAATCAATGAACCTAAAGCCAATCCCACCATCCTTTGTCCCAAGCCCGAACCTGGACATGCCCGTCTCCCCATCCCGAATGGCATCAACTTGTGTGTCTCCACTTCCTTACCTTCAAATCTCTCGGGTCTGAAACTCGTTGGGTCATCCCAAACCTTAGGATCTCGATGGATTGCCCACGAATTGACAAGTAAAATTGTCCCACGTGGAACGTCATATCCTTGTACTTTGCAGTCTGCGGATGACTCATGGGGCAGCAGCAATGGTCCAGCTGGGAACATGCGAAAGGTCTCCAAAATGATGTTTTTAAGGTAAGGTAAATTGGACAAATCCTGTTCCGAAATCAACCCATTGAGACTAATATGCGTGTTCAACTCATCGCTTGCCTTTTGTAACACATTAGGGTGGTTAAGCAAAAGGGACATTGCCCATTCTATGGTCACCACTGATGTATCTATGCTTGCGATCACCATGTTCTGCACATCGAACACGAAATTACCATGTTTTATTGTCAATAAACATGAAAATCAAGAATAGAAAAGAAAAGAAAGTTCAAATCAACAATTATAATCGACATAAAAACCAAGAAAGAAAAAAAATTAAAGAAAGTTCAAATCAACATTTATATACGTCAAAGCAACGAGCAATAGTCCAACTATGAGCACTCAAAAATAACTCGAAAGTTACTTTCTCATCTTACTTTTGGAAAAGTAAAAAAATCTTTTAAACTTTACCAAACATGCCACTGTTCTTTGACATTAATCATTCTCCCAAGGAAAAAGGAAACCTCAAAATAAGTTAAACGTGTTATTACTTTAACATCAGTTGATCTCCAAAGAGAAGATGTGGAAAGTTGACCACCTAATTATAATCTTTTATCTTTATTTAGCGTCGACAATAATGACGGGGCTTACTTTTACTTCTGCATTTCTTTCCTCATGAAACTCTCTAGTCGTACAAAATAGAGTTTTGCTATAGCAATAAGGGCGGGACAGTGACACCACTTCAGCCCCCCTGTCAAATGCCCATGTCCCATCCTTGTTCATTTTAGCCTTTTCCTACAAAATTTTAACTTTTCAAAAACCTTGTGAAAAAGGACAATTGTCCTTTCACTTCTTTATGAATACATTCAATGCCCCAACTGTCCCAAGTTAATGATGTCTACCGAACTCAAATAGTAATTTTGGAGTATTTATCATCATTGAGTTTGAACATTCTGGTGCAAGCAATAATACTAAATAGTCTCAAAACTATTTCAAAACAATAAATATATCCTGAGATAAAGAAATACATTGAATTCAAGTCTTCTTGTTATGTTTATAGAAATTATGAATCTCTTATATTTAAGGGTTGTTCTTGTTATACATAATTTGGGTATATAGGTGTATCCATACCTCTCACGTAGGGTGCAATCCGCGCAAGGTGGACCCCATTCCATGTAAAGGGTGACGACACCTCTATGTACATATTTTATGTGCAATAAGACTTATCCTATATTTAAAGCATATTTGCTACAGATTAAAATCTGATTTTAATTTATTTAAAGTCAAACAATTAATATTAACTCCATTTTTCATAGGCCCACAACTTTTCAACCATATATATCAAAAACT